AGGTGCTTCACACCACGGGTCGAAAACCTCACGGGGGAGTTCGTCTTGACATGGTAAGATGATTTTTAATATCAATTAATTTAATTTTTATTTTATTTGAATATATTCTAAATTAATATTTAATTTTATAAATTAATTTTAGGCTAAGGAGACAGGAGTTCTTCCATCTCTGAAAGACCTGTACGAGAGGACCCACCGGTACAAGGCTGGGCAGTTTGTAGATCCTGCTTCAGAGAGGATCTACAACGAACTTGTTGCCTGAGTTGACGAGCGCCAGACCCAGCTGACTCAGCAGACTGGGTCTCCAGTCATATTTTCCACTGTTGACGTGGATAAGATTTACGAGGAGGTAAATAATTTGTTTTACTATTAATTATTAATATTTTTTAAATTTTTCTTAATGTTATTAATATTTTTTAAATTTTTCTTAATGTTATTAATATTTTTATTTTCAGGCGCCTCTAGGAAAAAGGGGCGTATCATCCGGATTGGCTCGAATAACGATGTCCCTGCAGCGACATCGTCTTATCATCAGGAGCAGCACGATGCCAATGATCAGCTGCGCTCGGAGTTGCAGGCGACGCAGTCTCAAGTGACTTCGCTCACCGAGAATTTCACTTCTCTCACCGATATCCTCGACATTATGGCGGTTGGAAACCCGCAAGTGCAGGAGCTGTTGCGTCAGAGACGGGAACGTGCAGGGATTCCAAGTACCCAACATCCTCCGCCATCACAGTCACAGCCGGCAACCAACTATGGAGAGGATTTGCCGAGCCAGGATGACGTTTTGTTCAGTCAGCAATTTCACGACCAGCATCCGTAGTTTCTTTTATTTTTATTTGTATATTATGAACTGGAAAACTTATTGTATATTATCTAGTTATTTATAAAATATTTTGTTTTTTTTTATTTTTATTTATAATTTGATTTATTTTTATTTTTTAAAAATAAATTAATTATTTGTAATTATTATTTTAATAGGAAAAAAACATTTCCAAGCAAAATCCTCGTAAAATATTCCAAGTAATATCCTCGTAAACAGTTCTAGTAATTTCCTCGTAATGTATCACTACGACCTTACGAGGAAATGTTATTACGAGCTTACGAGGAAAGCTTACGAGGACCTTACGAGGAAAATTTTACCACGCCTTTACGAGGAAAGCTTTCCTCGTAAATTCGCTACGACCTTACGAGGAAAATGGCTTTACGATGAACGTGTTTCGAGGAAACGTGTTTCCTCGTAACTTCCTAGTAAAAGGCCATTTACTAGGAACTAACGAGGAAAACCCGTCCTAGTAATGGACGAGTTTTCTTGTAGTGTGAGAACACTCGATTTGAAGATTTTGTGACAATCATACGTGAGGAGTACGGAACTGATGTTGCAGAAAAATCTTTAGAACTGAGGTACTAGTTGCCGAAGCAGAATCTACACAAACAAAGCATCGATACACCACCTGTGAAAATAGGAACTGATAGGCAGTTGCATAGGTTTTTGGGACTCTGCAAAGTTGAGAACATTCGACTATGTGTGGAGTTTAAAGAGATCAAATATCCAAACGAAGGGGCTGGCGAAGATCAGAAGCAACCCTTACAAGGAGATGAGCCGTTGGGTGAAGAAGAAGAAGACACAGACGAAGAAAGTGATCGATTTGATTACTGTGATGATTCAGATGGAGCAACATCGGATGATGAGGACTTTACTTCATACGGGATTCCAGCAGACTATGTAGAAGAAGTTCATTGATCTTCTACAAATATTATTTATGCAAGAGACCCCAAGTCACAGGAAAGAGACGCGCCAATTAGTATGTTGGAGTTGCGCTCATTCAAATTTGACGTGGGACAGGTTTTCGAGTCCAAAGATGCATTGGAGAAATGTGTGAAGATATGTTCAGTTGTCCACAAATTTGATTTTGATGTGGATAAATCTACTACGAAGCTATATCGTGTAAAATGCTGGATAGAAGGTTGTACGTGGAAGCTTAGAGTTTCGCCATTAGATGAATCTCCAAAATTTATAATCCGAGTATATGTAGATGAACATACCTGCTCCGTAACAGAACTTTCATCTCGTTCCCGACAAGCTACTCCTGAGATTCTTGGACGTTTGTACAAGGACTATGTTGGTGGGGTTGGTCCATCTATTTTGCCTACTCATGTTTCTACTGCCATGAATCTGAGCTTTGGAACCAAGGTCGACTACATTTGCACATCAATATGATTTGTTTCCTAACCTTTTCTTCTTTTTAATGGGGTCATTGTGTAATTTATATTGTAGATGGATTACTGGAAAGCTCGTTGTACACTTATAGCTGCAAGAGATCTCGTACTAGGTTCTTCAGAGAGCGGCTACCAGGAATTACCTATTTACTTGCACATGATTAAGATGTCAAATCCAGGAACTTCTACCCAACTAGAAGTTGATACGAACAACAGATTTAAGTACTTGTTCCTTGCATTCAACACTAGCATTACTGGATTTCCATTCATGAGGAAGGTTGTGGTAGTTGATGGAACGTTTTTGCAAGGGAAATACAAAGGAACACTTCTGATTGCAACATCACAAGATGGTAATTTTCAAATATTTCCAATTGCGTTTGCTGTGGTTGACACAGAGAATGATGAATCATGGACATGGTTTTTCCGCCAACTCAGCCGTGTGATACCAGATGATGAAGGATTGGCGTTGATCTCTGACAAGGTGGTTTGCAACAAGAAAACATGATGCTTTTAGAGTCAGCCGGGTGCCAGAAGCTTGCCAATTTTTCACCTTTTAGAGTCAATCCGATTAATGATGACAAGGTTGTTTGCAACAAGAAAACATGATGCTGAGCTGATGAAAACCTCTCTTACTCGTGGTGTAGAGAAGGTGTTGGAGGTAATATATATTCAATCAGGTTATGTGTTTCTGCAGATTGTTCGCTAATATACTTGTGATTTCATATTTGCAGGGCCGGATACCTATTGCTAACCAACTAAAAGTTCAAGCAATAGACATTCATCAATCGCAAGTGACAGGAGTCTCGTCTTTACATGTTGTAAACCTGACCGAGAAAACATGTTCTTGCCGTAGATTTGATTTGGAAAAACTACCATGTGTTCATGCCATAGCTGCTTCGGAAGCTAGAAAGATATCACGTATATCACTGTGTCACCATTACTATCGGAGGCAATACCTTTACAACGCATATTTCACTCCTGTTATGCCAAAAGATGATGCTGTTCTAGTTCCAGAAGAACTTGTAAAGAAGATCTGCTTACCATCTGATGTCAAACAACCACCGTGAAGACCAAAAAAAATCTAGACATAAATCTATTTTTTGCAGAGAAAAAGCGGCCAAGGAAGGAACATACATGTAGAGTTTGTAACCAAGTGGGACACAATTCGACTACATGTCCTCATAAGTGATGAGTATTTGTTTTAGTTTGTGGATTTGTTCTTCATATTTCGTTTTGGTTGGTGCCATATTTTGTTGGCATACTCTTTTATTTTTTATTACCTTTAGACATTGATTTTTCATTTTGTTTGGTACATCCGTTTAAAACCATCTCTGAAGATCATGACAACAACATGATAATTTACATCCAACATCAATAAACCAAAAACATTCCTTTGATACATACATCTGTCTAAAACATAGAACCTAAAACAACCAACATCTATAAACCAAATAGCATAAGTTATACATCCGTCTAAAACCAAAAACCATCAAGTCATACATCCGTCTAAAACCAAAAACCATCAAGTCATACATCCATCTAAAACCAAAAACCATCAAGTCATACTTCCGTCTAAAACCAAAAAACCATCAAGTCATACATCAGTCATACTCCTCTCTCTCAATCACCTCCTCATAAATAGCAGCCGCCAACTTCAGTCGCAATGGTGTCATAATCTGATCACTCAAGCCATGAAAGTTACATCCAAGAGCTAGACACTCCATGTACTTTAAAGAGTACACACCACAATCTCCCGGGTTTTCATTTTTAGGGATCTTCCTGTGCCTACGGAAAGTGAGCTGTTGAGTACTTTTCTTCCTCAAATTTGGAGGCATCATCTTGTTAAGCACTGCCGGTATCATTCTCATGAAAGGCCGGCACTCCTCTGTCATCTGCTTATCACTCAACAAATTAGGAATACTATCATACACATGTATTACCCCCTTAATGAGATCGATGTGTATAGCAACCCAATGGTCTCCGTTAACATGGTGGCAGAAGAGAAGGCTGTCAACATCTATTACCCACTTCTTACCGGTCACAAAATCAGCCAGGTGTTGTCCATTAAAAGCCTTGCTATACATTTCTGACAACTCATTCATGTTCTCGTCCCACTTCTTGTAGTCATTCACCCAGGAGTTGATAAACCAGCGAGACAGAAAGGCAATCTGAGAAGAAGAATATGGAAAGTTGTCTTGCATGGAGCGTCTGTGAAACATAAGTGTTGCTGCTGCAATGTGCTACACATTGAAAAAATACACAATCAGCAAACTCTGTATGTTAATAATCTGCCATATAAAACAGGATATAAACTTACGTAGGATCGCAACCAGCCGTAGTTGTCTTTAGGCCAGTCATCTCTAGGTATAATCAACTTCAAAAAAAAACCTGCGGTTGCATCTCCATAACCAGGCACCTCTTTTTCCCTAGAAAGAAGAAAAGCTGATAAAAGACAATATCGAAAGAAGCTATGATGGAAGAATAGAAACTTACAAATCAGTCATGATGAAGTTCAAAACTCTCACTAATTTGTCAGCTTCCACCTTAGATAATGGGTCATAAGCTTCACCGGTTATTATACGCTTCACTGTCGAATTCCCCACATATGGGTAAACTTGAGTCTGCGTCAACTGAGTTTTGCGTTTCTGGGAAGGATCCAAGAAAGTTGCCGCAAGCTTGTCCAACACAGCCCTAGACTGTACACTCTTCTCCCACATCTGAGTTCTTTCCAAACCTGCTGTCGAAATCGATTCATCATTTAGTTGTGGGATCTCGAACGCCTTCTCTAGCTTCACCTTTTTAAGTGGTATTTGAGTTGTCCTTCCTTTCTTTTTCACTTCCTTGTTCTTAAGATCGTCCTTCTTGATGGTCTTCTTATCTATTTTCTCCTTCTTCACAACACATTGCATTGGTAATCTATCTTTTGAACCGATCTTCTTCTGAAGGATCCATGACTGTTTTATAATAGACAATAGGAATTTGTTTAAAAAAGCCAAAAAAATAGACTAAAAAGATTGAAATAAACCATACCAACTCGTTGCTACTACCGCCATCATCCTCATACGCCTTAGAGTTGGCCACACCAGCAGAAATATTCACATGAGGAGATGCCACAACCTTGGTTTTAAGAAAAGTTACTTCTTCCTCAAATCTTGCATTATTCTTCTTTAATTCAGCCTGTTGTACTTCCACTCTAGCATCCACTCTAGCATCTATGGTAGCTTCTATTGCTTTAATAACCTTGTCAGATACGTCAGCTACACTAACATCGATGCTTTCTATTTTTGTTGTGAGGCCTTTAATTGACTCAACTAACCCAAGTATGACGCTGTGAGTTGTAACCTACAGTAAACAAAGACGAAAAAAATTATGTCAACAACTATATTCTACCACTACTTTCACAAAACAAATTGGCGCATACCATTTCTGAAGCTTCAGATCCATCAATAGGTTGTTTGTCCTTTTTTCTCTTAGTAGAAGGACTCTCATCCACTGTATCTGGAACAGCAGATGCCCTGGCCTGATATTTTATTTTCACGCCCTCGGTACACGCCAGTCCATCCCAAAACCTCTCATTTAGTTGACCATTGAGGATGTCAACTATCAGGTTATCCAAATCGGTATCCGGTTCTTCGTTGACCCACACGGGATACCTATGGTCCATCGGCCTATTAATATGCCTAACACGGATTTGCAGTTCAATAAAAAAAAATTAAAATCATGTAACTCAGATTACTGATAGAGGAAAAATAATGTATTACCTTCTCAGGTTTTTTCTTCTCTTGTGCTATGAAATCATCAAAGTTGACACGCTGCCGAGAACCACGCCATGACAGAAGAGGAATCTCAGCTCCCGCTATCTGATGCCCATACAACTCTCCAAATCCAGGGACAGACTCGTATATCCATATGACTAAGGCATGAACAAAACCATGAACTGTATAGCTATCTTTCCCCACGTAGGACACTACTTTGATGGAGTCAACAAGGCTTTTAAAAGCAACACGACCCCACGGAAAGCGATCGAAAGCATCTATATCCATCACCCTTTTAGCACAATTAAAAGGTATCCTACTGTTGTTTGAAATCCTAAAAATCCCGATCGACAAAAGGCACAATAAACCAACCCTTATGCGCTTCTCTAAGGGCCAGTTTCTGCATATCGGAAAGAGAGCTTGTAATTCAAGAAGCTTTGGTCCTTCAGCTTGAGGAACTTTCATCTCCACCCAAAACTCTTTATGATCAACATTCCAGCCATCCTTTTTGTCGAACGGTTCACAATTGAGGCCCGTGATATCTTCAAACTCAAACAAAGAAAACCTTATCGGACTTGTTTCAAGCAAAGACCATATCTCATTTTTCTTCACTGATAGTTGATTGGTGAGAAAGTAGTGAACATATTTTGCAGACCAAATGTAGTCCAACTCCATCAGCCTGATGATCACTCTAACAGCAGATTCCTTCAACACATCCCAAGCGTCTACACCAACGGCTTCTTTAACCATCGCCACATTCGACAAGTGACAGCTATGATTCATGCTTCTGCTCTGAACTGGTGTTTCCCCAGCCTCGTATAAGCGCGGAGGATACTGTCTAATGGCCGAAGATGAAGCCATCCTGCAACAAGTTCACACAGTGATATTAACAAAAGAACATAAACTCATCTTGCTGAAACAAAAAATGAAAACGAAAATTTCACTGGCTCGGGCCTTATTTTTTCGAATTGCGAATATTTTTTTTTAAATTGGAAATTATGGGTAAATTTTCAATCGGGAGTTGAAGTTTTTTTTCAAATTGGGAATTAGGAATTTTTGAAATTGGGAATGAGTATTTTTCGAGTTGTGAATTAGGTATTTTTTTTCCAAATATCCCGATAGAGAAAGAGAGAAACCCCAATTCAAAATTCAAGTTTGGGAACTAGGGATTTCGATTTGATCGACGAAGACAGAGGTGGACCACGGAGGTGAGATCGAGTTCTTACTCGTCGACAATGACAGAGACGAGCTCTTCTCGGTTGTGGAAAACAGAAACAGAAACGGTGGAGTGGTCGTCGGAGACAGTGGTCGTCGGAGACAGTGGTCGTCGGAGACAGTGGAGTGGTTGTCGGAGAAGAAGCTTTTGTCTGTCGGTTTTTGTTCTGAGAAAAAGAGATGAGCTTTTGTGGAGTGAAGAAGATGAAGACCAAACCCCGACAAAACTAACCTATATCTTCTTTTTTTAATATTTTTTTTTAATTTCCTTTTACTTTGTTTTTCTCAATGGATTGGTTAATTCATGTTTTTCGGTTTATGAAGATGGAGTTTTTGGTAAATTAGTCAATCCCTTGAGTTATTCTAGTAATTAGAATTTTATAAGAGTTAGTAGTATTTTCTCAATTGATTTGAGTCATTATGGGTATTTTCTCTAAAATATATGAAAAGATCTCGGGAGGTCAACACTTCACAAAGCACTGAAATTAATGACGCTTCGTTTCGGGGACAAATTTACGCGACCCCTCGGTCCTAATTTCTTTAGCATGAATCAAACTACTAAACATCCAAACAAGAACAGAAGTTTTGGCTGCAAATGTCCGCAAGCAAATCAAAGTGTTTCTGTAAAGGAGGGTTAAGACAAAACCCTTGCAACACCGCTTAACATTTTCAAACCCGCGAATGTTTCGAACACAAAACGCGACATATAAAGAAAAACCAATCTTCGGCATTGCGAGACGTCGCAGACACCTGAAGAATAGTTTTTCGAAAAAATTACCTTCCTCGATAAAATCACTTTCTTGGAAGACCCAACAGTCCATCTGCGACTAAAAAACATACAAAATTTCTTAAGATACATATCCTTCGCGAAGGTCCAAGCAACGTTAACATCTACCACCTAAGTTTGTTGCTGATCACAACAAACTCACAACAGTCCTAAACAAACTTAAGTTATCTCACGGAGACAGCTCTCATACACCCGACACAAGGGTAATAGCGTTATAAAGAAATCCAAATTTTGGTCAGCACCTTCGTGGATGCTTGATTCCGACCATACAAGTCGTATAAGCAAAGAACCTATCGCGGACTTTAAATCAGTATGGAATCAGGTTAAAATCGCAACAGGCAAAACAAACGCCGATTAGTCATCGCAAAGCCTTAAAACCGAAAGTAAACCTAGGTCTTACCCTAAACCCATCACACTGGTCTCTAACGTCTCGAGGCATGAAATGAGATCCTAAAGGCCGTCCAACACTCACGAGATTCTAAACATCATAAAATGATAAAACGAATTGGGCGATCTACAAAAAAAGAGTTAGACTATGAGATGACAACTCATATTCTTCCCTCCACTTTTATACAAATACAAACTTGCTCTTAAACACACAAAACACAAATTAAAAAAAAAAAAAAAAACAACAACGGCCGCAAAGCGGCGCGGACTCAAGGCTGCATACGGCGAGTCCAAAAATATAATGTCCACACTTTGTCGAAGCAAATAGCCTACGACGCAAGTCTCGAAGCTTATTCAAAACACCATCGATATCGCCATGTTCAATAATTTCTACACATAACTAGATTGTAAAGGTCTCACTGGAAAACAGGTCATACGAACCATACCTCTAAGAAGAACTACGAAAGGCTTGATCCCTTCAAGAGGGTATGTAGGCAGCCTTCACTACGCGCAGCCCCTATCCTACCGCTTTCCTTTCCAATGAGAGTGGGGAGACCACTTTCAACGGAACTTTTCAACCATAAATTCCACCTAACTTGCCTGACTTGCCTAATTTTCCTAAGATTGTCTAACCACTTGCTAGAACCTCACGCTAAAAGCTCAAGGTTCTAACGAGCTGGGGAGCTAACTATTGGGGTCAAAATCGGTCAAGACGAAATCAATGGCTAAAAGTCCTGGAATAAGCATACAAGAAACTATAGACTTTTTACGAAGATACGAGATTACGGAAAACTCGTATCAAAGTATGAAATAGTTTAAAAAACCTTGTTGGGGTCAAAATCGGTTACGACGAAATCAATGATCAAAAGTTTCCGCAAAGTTAAGAATATGTTTTAGAAATTCGAAAAAGCTTCGAGAAGAAATCTAAGGACTTTCGGAACAAATGAATTCCGTAAACTTAACAATCGTCATCTTAGAAATCATCGGAAAACAGATTAAAACAATCCGCGATTGTCCAAATTCGCAAAATTAGCAAAACACGGCCCTAACGTCAAAACTTATCGAAACGGTAAAGCTGTTATAAAGGTCCGAAATGGTATCCTCGAGATCAACGTCTATGATTATTTCTCTTTATATTCTCCGAGAGGATCTCGGGTCGAGAAAACAAGAGATGATCGAAACAAAACAACCGACCAGCTTGCTAACAGGCGAGCTGGCCGTGCTTTATCAGCTCGCCTGTTGGCGAGCTTAACCAACCAGTCCAGCTCGCCAACAGGCGAGTTGGCAATTCCGTACCAGCTCACCTGTTGGCAAGCTTAACCAAACCATCCTTGCCCCTCGACTTGATCGTACTCTGAACCGTGATCGGAACATATCTCGTTTCATCTCGATCCGTCTTACCGTTGGAGTTTTATGATAAAAATCATAAAAGCCTTGTTTTCTCGTAAAAACCTCGGGTAATCGTATAGAACAGCAACCGTTAAAGAAAACACCGAACATTGCCAAACTATACGATTAACTCGAGATATTTTATTTAAAACCCTTAAAGCCTTGTTTTCTCGTAAAACCTCGAGTAAATCATATAAAATGGCAACAATTAAACAAAACACTGAACATTTCCAAACTATACGATTAAATCGAGATGTTTTATAAAAACGGCATCGTATCGTGGAACGATCTCGTCTATAGTCGTAAAAGGGCTAATTAGCAAAACGGATCGGAAAGTCCTAAAACGCGATAAAGGCCTACTCATGACTTTAGACAAGATCCAGCCCAAAGATATGATGACGGTTTACTCATTATTTGCAGGAGTGGGAAAATGTCAAGTTTGACGATAAAATAGAAGTTTTCCAAAGAGAAATGGAAAGATCGAGATGAATGGAAGATTTCTGATAACAGCAAATCAGGGCAGAAAAGGAAAGGCTAACCGCCAAGAGAAGGAGTATATAAGCAGAACGTCGATTACAAGAACAAGGACGATTTTAAGAGCTCTCATCTAAGAACTTTTACAAATTTTCTTGACTTAGAATTCTCTGCACTTAGAAACTTACGCTTTATTCTCGACAAGTTCGGTTTATGGGACTGGCACTCAATTACTAGACGAACTCGCCCAGACAGTTTGATCTCTTGTCCACCTCTACCAATTGAACTACGTTCGGCTTGATCCTCGAAAGGGGTACGTAGGAAGCCTTTCATAAGGTTCAGTCCGAAATCAATCAAAACCCTTTTTCTTATCTTTTTCGTCTTTTGTTATCGAGATGCGACTCAACTAGGTTTAGGCTTTTTATGTTGCTAGAACTAGGTAACTCGCTGACGGCCCCTGCGGCCAAAGCATTTATAATCTCTTGTAATGATCGCAACGCTCTTACGCGAATTTGAAATAAGATATACTTTGTTTATAAATTCATCTTATCATGTTTTTCATATATTTCCGCATTTACTTGGTTACTTGACGTTGGCTCTCGCAGAGATCCGGGTTCCCTGGAAAATTAGGGTTTTCCTAAGTTTCTTTATTTTATG